ATATCTACATGGAGTTGAAGAAAATACAATAATGCGGCAAGTCGGGGGAGTGGTGGGGGTTGGGGAGGGGTAAGGGACGGCGGAAGAGGGAATTATGGGAAAAGAGGGGAAATAGTAGAAATTAGAGTAAAACTTAGTTTGTCGAGAAGAAGTTTTGTGTAGTGGAGTTTTATGAACTGGAGTGCAGTGTGGTGGAGTTTAATATCAATTATGGTAGAGTTTTTTGAAGTGGAGTTTTGTGTTGTGTTGTGGACTTTATGTTGTGGATTTTTGTGTAGTGAAGTTTGTGTGGTGGAGTTTTGGGACATGGAGTTTAGTGTAATTAAGTAACAGAAGAGTTTTGTAATACAGAGTTTTAATTTGTGAAATTTGGTTCAGTGGAGTTTTGTATAGTGAATAGTGATGAGACTTTGTGTGGTGAGTGTGGTAAAGCTTTGTTGACCAAAATTCATTTCAAATGGTTTATAAAAAACTTAAATTTTTGACGAATATTTATCTTAAATGACATTTAAGCAAAGAGAATAGAATATATATTAGAGTGGAATTTAAAGAATCTCTCGGTATGAACTTGTTCAGTCCCTTTCAGCCTGAAAGGGAATTCAAAGTGTACAAATCATTTAAATGTTCACAAATTATATTCAGTAGAGTACATTAATACAGTATGTTCCCTAGACTTTCAATTTCAATTTCGAATGTTTTAAAGCTGTTAAATAAACTTTATAATGAATTAGGTGAATAAAAAACGTCATTTGATTTATAGTCTTAACGGAAAATCATCGTTTGTAAAGTGAAAGGCATAGAGTCTATGTGAAATGATCATTGGTCAATTATGAAACCAGCCTATTTAGTATTTCATAATTTGGTTTTCTTTTAATATTAATTTTAGATTAACTTGAAAATTACATTTACAGTTCCTTTGAAAGCACTGTAAACGTAATTTTAGGTGGCTAATCATTAGCATGATTAAGTCACAAGTTCACAACGGTATTCCCTTGAAAGCTTTGTCATTCATTTTTCCTCTCAATGTTGGTTATTTATAATTGCGGTTTGAAATGACTTGCGCATTTCTGCTTCATAATCAATATTAAGGAAGTATTCGCCAGAACTACGCTTTTCAAGCTAAGAAGACGATACCGTTGTAAATCGAATGTTTTCCTCTTTTTAAGAAATATTACTTAAAGTAACGCCTATATTCCCGTTCCTTTAACGGGTAAACCTTTTATTTAATATATACAATCTCTGACACACATAAGTTAGTTTATAGCCGTGGGGTTTTGTTTGGGGGATTAAAAGAATTAAATAAGGATTCCAATTAGTTTTATGTTCCCTTTGGAACATTTAGCATTCAGAAAACAGTATTTGAACATCTTGATAAAATTTGGTTCAGTTTAAAATTAGAAATTTGAAAATGTTAAAAAAAGAGTCTTTTGGCATTTATAATTATTGATGAGTTGTAGCTTGTGACTTGTGACTTTGCGAAAGTACTATTGAACTTCTATATTTTTACATCGGAGGTGTTAATGATTAAAATATCGTGTCATTTTTCTTTCAAATAAAATTATATCTAAGATTTCTACTTTTTAAGAATTTGACATGTAGATTTTTATATGTTTCAGAGATAAAAAGTAATGGGGCTGCATTGAACTGTGTTTCTGTTTATCAAGGCTCTTTCATTTTGATAAAGTAAAATCACATAAGCCCAAAAGTTCCATATCCTCGAATAACAATAACATCAATTATAGGAATCAGGAAGCAGTGAATTTTAGGCTTAAAGAGCGGCACCGTCTTGTTCAGGCTTGGAGGTCAGATATCCAGGTATAGACTAAAAATGCAAAGATAAATAATTCTAAATAGTATGGGGGCGACCTTGATGCACCTAACCTTTTGTTTTATACTTTTATATATTTAAAAAAATTATAATCACCATTTGAGTTTCATATTTGTAAAGTCTTTAAAGAAATAATGTGAACTACTCATGTATGTCGTAAAAAATATTAATAGTAAAATCTACAATTGACTTGCTGCTTTCAAAAACTAAATTGCCTGCTGGCCGGATGTTTGTCGCATGCACCTTTGACCCTCTAGTAAAAGTAAATTCAACCTAAAGTCTGACCGCGTTAACCTTGTAACACCGGCTAGTCCTATTTAGTGACTGCTTTATTTACGATACAGTACAAACTAGGACCGGAAAGGTTGACCCGGCTCGGAATTTCAAATGTTCTACGGCAACCCGTGGTCCTGCAATCTGTTGCATCCAATATTCGGCCTAAAGTTCTTCCTAATAATAATAAAAAATATTGCAGACAGAGCTAAACGCAAGTATTAGAGAGACTGCTTGTTTGGAGGTAATTTTCAACAAAAAAAATATAATTCGTCCAACAACAAAACAAAATAAAATCTTGAAAAAAAAGGTTAAATGCATCTCTTCATTATTATTTATGTTATTTAGGAGAAAGTGAGACAATTGGAATTTGCCTTGAAACAAACAGAGAGACCTCTTAGGGTTGGTACAGACTGTTTACAGTACAGGTACAGACTGTTTACAGTACAAGTACAGACTGTTTACAGTACAGGTACAGACTGTTTACAGTACAGGTACAGACTGTTTACAGATATAGAATATTATACCTCTTAATTTCCCCCTACTCTGTACAACATTATATACCCGTACTCTATAGAACATTATTAACGACGACCCTTCGTTTTTTCAAAAGCGATCGTTTTTCATTTTCTAAAAGTTCAAAACGAGTGGTTCGTTTTTAAAAACGATCGTTTTATCCCAAAAATGAACTATCGTTTTTGAAAACGATTGAAAAACGAAACAAAAACCGATAGTTCAACGATCGTTTCCAAAAATGATTAACAACACCCCCTACTCTGTACAACATTATACCCCCTAATCTGTACAACATAATACCTCATCTATACAACATTATACCCCGGTACCCTATGCTACATTATACCCCCTACTCTGTACAACATTATACCGCCACTTTATAGAACATTATACCCCCCTACTCTGTACAACATTATACCCCCGAACCCTATACCACATTATACCCCCCTACCTTATACACTATTATACCCCAAGTACATCACATACTCCCTACTCCCTGCTGCAGAATAATGTTTTTGTTCTCTGCCTAAAAAAATAATACAACAAAATGTTTTCATATTTAGATTACATGAGGTTTTTCATTATTTAACTCTTTAGGAGACGGAACTAAAACATTATATTTAGTAATTCCAATACAACGTTTGAAATAAAAAAGTTATTTAAGTATTATTAGGTATTATATTACAGTAACCAAAATCAATAGAAACACGCGACAATTTCAATGAAAAAATAAGGAAAAATAACCTAGTTTTGAATACAATAATGAGCTGAGATTTATAAACTTGAGCCCGAGTAAACGCGCAAAAGTTGCCAGATTTCACTTTTGAAACACGACATGAAACGTGTGGCCAAACAGGTGTTGCGTTTATTAACACCCAAGTAAAGTTCAAAACAAGGCTTAAGTTAAACCTAATCTCAGAACCATTGTGTTTTAAATCTAGAGATTAAGTATTGATCTACATCTTAATTGAATTAATCTAATTCCTCTTCAATATCATGAGATGTTTAAACCCTGCAGGGTTAACTTTAATTATCAAGGAATCAAGAAAAAATTTTCAAATTTTCAAAATCCACGCAAAAGGTCCGATTATTTATGATTTCTAATTTATATTTACGCATTCAAATTCTTGGACATTATTATATAATGTTGAAATTGTTCATGTCTAAAAACAATTAAATTTGTGTTAATTTCAAATTTCATTTGCAAAATAACTTTTCTGCACAATCAACACAATCAACAAAGGCTAAAGTTCGGCGCCTACTTTTAAAATCTGAGCTCAGCTCAGTTGTAAATCAAGAATGTTTATATTTACAAAATATGGAACTTTCTCTAATCAGAATTATCAAAACTATAACATTAAATAAGAACAAACAAACACAAATAAACAAATAAAGAATTTGAATACAAAACCTAACCGTGCACAATTGGCCTCGATAATATATAAATTGATTTTAAATCAATTTTCAACATTAATAAATGCCACGCTTCAATGTGAAAAATAAAAATAAATGTGTAAATTTTTCATAAGTTTAATGAATAACGCTTTATGTTGAACCTAATTAAGCTGGATTGATAATCTTTCCTAAAAATCATATTAAGAAGCAACAAATTTTGCTTTCACCCCCAGAAAATAAATATAACACTGTTATTTTGTTTCGCAGTGCTATAAAGTTTTTGGACAGAAATTCTCTCTTTATCGAAAGGTTCAAGCCTTTTTAAATTTAATTTTGTCCCAAAATAATAGTGTTGTTTAAAAGGTAATTATATGAAATGCTTGTGTACTTTTCCTATTTCAATAGCTATATCTAGATCAAAGCTTTGAAACAAAGCAAAGTCAAAATATAAAGTTGATTTCAATTTTATTTTTAATTAAAAAAAAAATTTTGGGATATATCCTAAATTTTTTGGAGAAAATCTGGGAAGCAAACAAAACTTTATGGCACACGTGATATGATATACAGCTAATTTAACATTACAGCACGATGATTACTTTATAGCACGTTCATTATGAAATTCACGATGAAGTGAGGAAGAATGATAAAGTACAAAACAGTTTCATAAAATACTTTTTTAACCAGAAATATCTTTAAAAGTTAAAAGTTTAATCGTTTTGTAAAGTATGAAGAGAAATTGTTTATAAAAATATAAGAAAATAAAGACGACATTTTATCTATAACTATATATAAATATATTTAATGTATGTTTTATTAGGTCTGCTAGGCAAGGAATAGATTTAGTGAAAGATGAGGTGGAAGTATCCTTAGACAAAGAAATCTCTACAATCAGGTCTTTTTTATAGCTTACTAGCTCATTATAGATCACTAGCTCACTAGCTCAATATAGCTCACTAGCGCATTAGCTCACTAGCTTCCTAGTTTACTAGCTCATTACAGATTACTAGCTCACTAGCAAACTAGCTCCCTAGCTCTCGAGCTCTTAAGTTCTTTAGCTCACTAGCTCACTAGCTCACTAGCTCACTAGCTCACTAGCTCACTAGCTCACTAGCTCACTAGCTCACTGGCTCACTGGCTCACTAGCTCACTAGCTCCCTAGCTCACTAGCTCACTAGCTCCCTAGCTCACTAGCTCACTGGCTCAGTGGCTCACTAGCTCACTAGTTCACTAGCTCACTAGCTGATTAGCTAACTAACTCTATCGCTTACTAGCTCACTAATTTACTTGCTCTTTATCTCACTTTGCTTACTAGCTCTTTAGCTCACTATCTTGTATACAACTAACTACCAGATCTATACTATTGGTGTCTTGATGTATTTGCTGGCACTGACAACTGGTTACATAAATATTCCAACTTTTACTCCAGAAAATTGGTTACATAAATATTCTAACATTTACTCCAGAAAACTGGTTACATATATTCCAACTTAATTTACTCCAGAAAACTGGTTACATAAATATTCCGACTTTTACTCCAGAAAATTGGTTACATAAATATTCCAACTTTTACTCCAGAAAACTGGTTACATAAATATTCCAACTTTTACTCCAAAAAACTAGTTAAATATATTCCAACTTTTAATCAAAGAAAACTGGTTGCATAAATATTCCAACTTTTACTCCAGAAAACTGGTTGCATAAATATTCCAACTTTTACTCCAGAAAACTGGTTTTATACATTCCAACTTTTACTCCAGAAAACTGGTTACATAAATATTCTGGTTACATATAGTCCAACTTTTACTCCAGAAAACTGGTTTTATACATATTCCAACTTTTACTCCAGAAAACTGATTAAATATATTCCAAATTTTAATCACAGAAAACTGGTTACATATAGTCCAACTTTTACTCCAGAAAACTGGTTGAATATATTCCAACTTTTACTCCAGAAAACTGGTTGAATACATTCCAACTTTTTTCCTCTTTTTATTTTTCTTTGTATAAAACTAAGCAGGAGGGAAAGTTTAGAATAAAAACTGCATCTTTATTACAGGCAAACAAATTTTTTAATTTATTTTAATGAGTTTTTGCGTGAAACAAATTGAGTTCTTGCCCCAAACTCAATTTTTTAATCTTTGCAACCTTTTGGTTTGATATTTCAAAATTAGAATATTTGGTCTGCCAGAATTCATCGTTTAAAATATCAACAATTAATTTTGCAGAGACAAAGGGATTGTAAGATCAGAGTTTGTGGCAAAAGATCAGCTCCTTTACAATTTTTATTTTATTATAATTTTATTAGATTCATCTTGAATTCTCTCTAAAGGTTCTGTAAGATCAATTTTATAATGACTTTATACATTACTAAGTTGAGACTGACCGGCAATGTATGGTGGTTGATGAACTGAGAATGTAGTATTGTAGAGCAGTTTTTAGGATTCATTTGAGACATATAAAACATTTTAAAGATCTATAATTACTGAGTTTGAACGCTAAGTCTACTTCAAAATTATCAACTTGGTTGGGTACTTTTTGAGATTCGGTTTTTTTAAATTATTAAATAACGACGACAAAAAATACTGTAAAAATTTCATAGTAAACTAAGAAAATGCTTAGGAACATATTTCTCAACAGAAATTTGTCAATAAATCAATGTTAGTATCAATTATTTCGTAATTATAGATCTTTAAAACATTTCATATTTCTCAAATGAATCCTAAACAATTTCTCTATAGATCTACAATACTTCAATCTCAGTTCAACCACTGTATATTGCCGGTCACCTCCTTTAAAGCTTTGTCTGATTAAAATATCCCTCTAGGTATTTTTAAAACCTAATAGCTTTCATTTTGGGCCTTCTACAAAAGTGACTTGCCCATTTCTTGCATCTTGAAACAATGGAGAAATTATTAAAACTTGTCAAGCTAGAAACATGACGTTATCTCTCACATTGTAGATTAGATTAGGGTTTCAGAGGTACCATTTTGAATCATGCATGCCCATTATACGTTGAAATTCCATTAAACTTAAGACAAAATCAGAGATCAAATACAAATGTCTCCCTGGATTTTTCATCATACGTCTTTGATTGAGAAAATTAGAAGGACAGGGGCATTTTGTAGCAAAAAGTTGGGGGGGGGGGGGGNCTTATACTCTGTAGAGAACCAAGCAAGGAGTAATAAACTAAGGAGAGATCAACTTATACTCTGTAGAGAACCAAGCAAGGAGTAATAAACTAAGGAGAGATCAACTTAAAGCCTGTAGAGAACCAAGCAAGGATTAATAAACTAAGGAGAGATCAACTTATTGTCTATAGAGAACCAAGCAAGGATTAATAAACTAAGGAGAGATCAACTTATTGTCCATAGAGAACCAAGCAAGGAGTAATAAACTAAGGAGAGATCAACTTATACTCTGTAGAGAACCAACCAAGGAGTAATAAACTAAGGAGAGATCAACTTTTACTCTGTAGAGAATTAAGCAAGGAGTAATAAACTAAGGCGAGATCAACTTATACTCTGTAGAGAACCAAGCAAGGAGTAATAAACTAAGGAGAGATAAACTTATACTCTGTAGAGAACCAACCAAGGAGTAATAAACTAAGGAGAGATCAACTTATACTCTGTAGAGAACCAAGCAAGGAGTAATAAACTAAGGAGAGATCAACTTATACTCTGTAGAGAACCAAGCAAGGAGTAATAAACTAAGGAGAGATCAACTTATACTCTGTAGAGAACCAAGCAAGGAGTAATAAACTAAGGAGAGATCAACTTATACTCTGTAGAGAACCAAGCAAGGAGTAATGAACTAAGGAGAGATCAACTTATACTCTGTAGACAACCAAGCAAGGAGTCATGAACTAAGGAGAGGAAGATAATACTGAAACGCTATTATAGATAGCTCCAGAACTAGTTTCATTGTAAGTAAACATGATTTACTAAATGATGTTTGCTTACAGGGACTGAAGAGGTAATTTTAAGTAACCTTACATATATACAGTGGAATGATTGGTTCACAAAGGCACCCATAAAAGCTTTGTCTGAATAATAATGAATCAGTATTGTTTCTTTTTGGAAAATTTATTATTTTTGGGGGGTTATCTGTCAATGTGACATATTTGAGGAAATTGTTAAAAAGAAACACGTTTCGCGCCAGAAATACAACAATTTAATATCTGACCCATTTTGAATCAGATACTGTTGTTAACTGAGTGCCATTGTAAATTAGGCATGCCCCTTTTTGGAATATTTTGAATAATTCTGAACTTATCCATGGTAAATTGTAACCAATATTTATCCTCTCTCCCTAGCTCTACTCCTATAGGACCCAGCCAAGATTAAAGACCCGGAATGTTTGGAAGATACTTAGGTTGGTAACTATCCCTCTCTCCTTAGCTCTACTCTTATTGGACCCAGCCAAGCTAAAAAGAACCCTAGGACTGTCTGGAAGATATTTAGGTTGGTAACTATCCCTCTCTCCTTAGCTCTACTCATATAGGACCCAGCCAAGATAAAAAGACCCCCATGAATGTTTGGAAGATATTTAGATTGGTAACTATCCCTCTCTCCTTAGCTCTACTCCTATAGGACCCAGCCAAGATAAAAAGACCCGGAATGTTTGGAAGATATTTAGGTTGGTAACTATCCCTCTCTCCTTAGCTCTACTCTTATTGGACCCAGCCAAGCTAAAAAGAACCCTAGGACTGTCTGGAAGATATTTACGTTGGTAACTATCCCTCTCTCCTTAGCTCTACTCTTATAGGACCCAGCCAAGCTATAAAGAACCCTATAGGACTGTCTGGAAAATAGACGGGTTTAAACTATTCCTCTCTCCTTACTCCTTTGTTATACTCATGGTCCCTGTCAAGACTTCTGTCCTTAGCTCTTCTCCTAGTGGACCCAGCCAAGCTATAAAGAACCCAAGGACTGTCTGTAAAATAGTAGGGTTGGAAACTTCCTCTCTCTCATTAGCTCTACTCCTATTGGACCCAACCATGATAACATACTCCTTGTATTGTCTGGAAAATATTAGGACTGAGAACTATCCCTCTCTCCTTAGCTCTACTTCTATTGGACCTAGCCATGATAAAAGACTCCTTGTATTGTCTGGAAAATATTAGGATTGAGAACTATCCCTCTCTCCTTAGCTCTACTCCTATTGGACCTAGCCATGATAACCAAAGATAATATATATATAGATATGCAGGCAGGTAGAAACCTCCTTCCTAAATTGCTTGTAGCAGACAACTAATTTTTGAACCTCTTAGAAAAGGTGCAAGGAGAGACATCTATAGCAAATTGATTACTTTCTATATTCCNTTTCAGAAGTTTTAATGTATAAAAAGCGTCTTTGGACTTTTCGACAGATAGTCCCACGAATAGGAAAATAGATCGTAAGAATCTTTTCATTATAAATTTGTAAACCCTGTAATAATTATTTATCATTATTCATTTCGTTATTTTTTTTAGGAAATAAAGAGTTTTCTGCATTATCGATTTTGATTCGTGGATTATACCTTGTCTATCTGTTCATCGTCAGAATCTTGTTCCTTTGCGACAACAATTATGGTTGGAAACTATTCCTATCTCCCTTAGTTCTACTCAAAATGTTGGACCCAGTCAAGATAAAAAGATCCCTGGGAATGTCTGGAAAATATTAGAGAACTAGCGCCAACTGTTTAAATAGATTAACGATGAGAATACGTGCCAACTCTAAATAAATATATATTTAGGATTTGATAGGAACACTTACTCATTCACTGATTATAAAAACATACAAATATTATACAATAAACTTCTTATGTATTTTAATGTGCACATTTTTATTACAGTATCCTCACAGGATGAGACTTCAGAAACGACTGTACAGACTTTATACTGTCTATTTCCTTACATTCATGATGTACCATTGTTTCTTTCTTTGCTAAATCATTGAATAAGCCGCTAAAGAACTATATTCAAGGCAAAAAACTTAATTTAGCCCTGGGATTGTCTTATGAGATGAGCATTACTGTCAATTTGTCTTTATACTCTCACCCTCTGTCGGTTACCCGGTGTACTTAACAATTAACAAACTCGAAATCAGATATTTTGGACGAATTACAATTGAAGCATTGGACCAAAAAAGAATTTACAAGTTTCTTATGTTTTTGTTTTCGTAGATTTCGACAGATTTAGTAAATTAGAGAAAGATAATGACCGAAATTTTTTTCTTTTTATTTTAGAAAACAAGAATCACATATGTCAAGTTTTGATAATATTAAAAGACATTTTTTCTAGGGTTTTCCAAGAGCAGATGAGAGACAAACTAGATTTAGCATCTTCGCAGATAGATTCGAATATACGAAAACAGGTTTAATCATTATTATAACACAGATTACACCGATAGATTCGAATACACGAAAACAGGTTTAATCATTATTATAACACAGATTACACCGATAGATTCGAATACACGAAAACAGGTTTAATCATTATTATAACACAGATAACACCGATAGATTCGAATACACGAAGACAGGTTTAATCATTGTTATAACCAAAGAGAATAGAATATATAGAGAGGAATTTACTAGAAAAAAGTGTAAAACGGCCATTTTGTTCCATACTGCCGGTGTACTTCACATATTTATGCTATATAACCTGTTGGGCCCTGAAACATCATTTTATAGAAAATCTAAAATTATTGTTAAAAGAAAACCAAATTATGAAATAGGCTGGTTTCATGATTGACCAATGATCATTTCACATAGACTCTATACCTTTCACTTTACAAACGATGATTTTCCGTTATAACTATAAATCAAATGATGTTTTTATTCACCTAATTCATTATAAAGTTTATTTAACAGCTTTAAAAATTTCGAAATTGAAATGAACTGTATTTATGTACTCTACTGCATATAATTTGTGAACATTTACATGATTTGTACACTTTGAACTTCCTTTCAGGCTGAAAGGGACTGAAAAATTCATACCGAGGAATTCTTTTAATTCCGCTCTATATATTCTATTCTCTATGGTTATAACACAGATTACACTGATAAATTTGAATACACGAAAACAGGTTTAATCATTGTTTTAAAACAGATTACACTGATAGATTCGAATATACGAAAACAGGTTTAATCATTATTATAACACAGATTACACCGATAGATTCGAATACACGAAAACAGGTTTAATCATTGTTATAATACAGATTACACTGATAGAATCGAATACACTAAAAAAGGTTTAATCATTGTTATAACACAGATTACACTGATAGAATCGAATACACGAAAACAAGTTTAATCATTGTTATAACACAGATTACACTGATAGAATCGAATACACGAAAACAGGTTTAATCATTGTTATAACAAAGATTACACTGATAGATTCGAATACACGAAAACAGGTTTAATCATTATTATAACACAGATTACAAAGACATTTCTACAGAATTGCTCGTTAATTTACCTCACAGTAATCCAAAGATTGCAAGCTCTGACGCTAAAATCGATGAAAATTTTGCCATTAACTTCTAAATAACTAAAGTTAAAAATAAGTGCTTTGTGGATTTAAATAGTACGTATCTTGGCTACTAAAATAATAATTAAGGTAAAATGAAAGTTCCAAACGTGGCAACACTTTAAAGTTGGTCAAGTCTTAAACATTCGTATTATCAGTTTGTATCTATGTGACCTTTCAACACCGGGCCAACTGTTATTTACAATATGTTATGTGAGCGATATGTGCACAGTACAGTTTATGTAACCACAACAAATGAGACTTCAGAGATGACTGTGCGTAATTTATAATGTCTGTTTTAGTAAATTCATGAGGCAGGAAACTAAATATTACCTTGGAATCGTCATTATTTTTCATGTCGTCTTTGCAGTCTCATGCTTTCGGGTTAATCTTATTTTTAATCTCTATTTTTACCAGATTTTATAGAAATTCGCGCAAAATATTTATAAATTCAGAGTATACAAAACCAACAGAGTATCGACAACGAAAAGAAAGTGGTGGCTGTTGCACTGTTCTATTCTGTACATTTCTGTTATGTATTGTACTGTACTGTACTGTAATTTTTTTTTCAGGCACAGCTTCAGGAAGATCTGGACAATAAGGTGAACAATAAAATTGTATTTGTAAAACAAAATAGCAGTTTTCCATTTTCTAAATATTTATTATTTTTCTTTCATTTTCCTTTATATTTCGGCAACCGGTGTATTCAAAGTTCTTCATTAGCATTAAAGGGACTGTGACTGTAAGCGTTGTTTCAAATGACCCTCAAATCTACATGCAAAAAGGGTGATGCCAATAAATTAATTTAGTTATTTTAGAAAAAAAATTTATATTATTTTTATAAATATATATTAGCTCATGGAAACTAAGTGTTTGAGAATAGAAGCATTTAAGTAGATTGATAATATGTCGGACATCTTTGATCCATTAAAGGTTTAAGTGGCACTTTATGGGATATGACCCTTTTTAAGTTAGTCTCTTGAAATTACGCTGCCCCTTAAAGGAAGTTAGTTTTCACACAGAATAAGAGTATTTAAGCTGTTAATCTCAGTCTTAAAGTTTTATTTGTTTATAAAACCTTTGTATTATACAAATTCTGCTAGTTTAACCCTGGATTATATCATAATAACCTCAGAGCCCAAAACTTAAGACAGAGTATCGTTATGAAAACCAGTTTTAGAACCAGTTTCACAAGTGGGGTTAGACAGTTTTGTGGAAATAGATTTTTGTTATGAAATTTTATTATATCTAGTTTCTTTATATTCTCCAATTTTTTCTAATCTTTTAAATCGAAATCTACACAAAGGTTAAGACCCCGAAGAGGAAACTGTGGAGTTTCGTTCAACTTTTTTAAAATTTCGGGCTCAGGATTAGTACAGTACGCATCGTACTGTATATTTATCAAATTTAGAAATGTATAGATTTATAATAATATGATATTTAATTGAATAATATTATTAAGCTTCTAATTTAAAATTATTATTATAAACTATATTCTAGGAAGATTAACTATATTCTAGGAACATACATTTCAAAAATACTCTTGGGTACTGGATTAAATAAATGGCTTAACTCTAATGGAAAAAATAACCTTTAAAAAATACAGTTGTAGTATCAAAAAGGTATGTTTTTTTTCTGGAGAGGGTTCAAAAGATGACACAAAAGTTTGATTTTTTTTCATTTTTCATTTTCTCCACTAAAAACCTTCTCTGAATTCCTAGGATATAACCCCATGGGTAAGGATAGTACATGCCGGGAGCTGAAAATAGTTACATAATACCTAAAACCTGCTCTGAATTCCTAGAATATGACCCTGGATATAGATAGTACAGGCCGGGAGCTGAAGAATATATCTAAAACCTGCTCTGAATTCCTAGGATATGACCCTGGATATGATAGTACATGCCGGGAGCTGAACATTATATCTAAAACCTGCTCTGAATTCCTAGGATATGACCCTGGATATAGATAGTACATGCCGGGAGCTGAACAATATATCTAAAACCTGCTCTGAATTCCTAGGATATGACCCAGGATATAGATAGTACTTGCCGGGAGCTGAACAATCTTTCTAAAAACATTCAAATCCATGCTGGAATAGAAAAGGTGAACTATTGATTTATAAATGAGATTGAAATATTTGAAAATTGTCCAAAAGTGAAAAAAAACTTCTTTATAAGTTACTGGTTACTCGCCCAAATTCCGATTATCTCATCTTTATACCTTTGATATTTGAAACATGAAATATCCATAGATAAATCTGATAGCAAAAGTTTAAAATATCAAAGGCATGCGTGATCCGGTTGAAAATGGATTAAAAAATTAAAGTTTGTGTAGAGAAATCAGTTTCTTTGTGAATTTTGTGCAAAACTGAAGTTTGGATTTGTGGAGTAATTGCATGTAAGCATAGTCCTGTGGGGACACCGCACATTTTTAAATTTTTTTTTTTATTTAATAATTTTTAAAAATTCAATTGTTCAAGTTGGATGCAAACGGATCAGAGCCGGAGTCCTGGAGAAAATATAGCTTGAAAAACAGGTCGAACTAACAAAAAGAATCGAAAATATAATTATAGAATTTTGTTTTTGATGTTTCAGTTCAGAGAGGAGTCCCAAGCTTCCAGAGCTTTGTCTGCGCAAGGTTTAAGATAAAAAATTCATAAAATTTCCATATTCATTTAAATTAAGAAGTTTAATTTTGATCCTGTTGAGAAAATTGTTTATTCAGGAAAATTAATCAAAATAGTTTCTTTACAATTTTGATCAAAATAAAGATATTTTTTAGCGGATTCTACTGAGTTCAAGAAATTAAATATATATTTTATACTAATAAACTAAATAATCAGGATTTATTTTGGAAATCAGTTTTCTTGTCATTAGATTGATTAATCAACCCTTATAATAATGTTAAATCCTCAAAATTTATCAAAATTAAAATACTTTTGATTTATCTTAAAACCTACTTTATTAAGTTCGGCTCGACATTGAAAATCTTTTGAATGCCGCGTGTAGTGAAATGGTTTCACACTGGAATATTACAAACCAGGTACTTAAAAGAACCCGATAGCGTCTGTTTCAATCAGGGTTCAGTCGCGTGCTTGGTAAAGATTCAGTCACGTGCTTGGTGAAGATTTAGAACCGATAGAAATTGCAACGTCGGTAACATCTTGCTATCTATCTATCTCATCATCCATTTAAAGATTAAACAGTGTCAATTAATTACCGAACCCATTCGGTCCTAAGTAATCGTATTTGTTATGCAATTACTTGTACCGTCAAGTCTAGTGTACCCATCGTGTAGTGGACCGTGGACCCACTACGTATGTCATGTGTATTGATATGGCAGTTCGAAGATTTAAGAAACAAAAATCGAAAGCTATTCAAGAAAATCTGCAAAAATTCCTGTAAAGATTGCGAATCCAGTTCTCGCATTGAGTTTGTAAAAAGTATTTTTCCAGCAAAGGGTAAAGACTGCCTCAGAAGAATTATAAATATTGCTAACGTTAACATCACTAACAAGTAAGGGAAAAAAGTAAAAAGTAAGAAGAAAGAAGTCCAAATGAACCCGCGCATTCTTTTATATTTAAATCTGCAAATTTACAGGTACTTCGTAAACCATTTCATTTATTTATATGTTTCAACAGATTTAAAAATCCAAAAAGTTACAAGATATATAAGATAGCCTGCCGATAACACAATCGCAATTTAGATAAAGATTTTGAAGGTAACTTTTAAAATCGATAATGTCATTTTTAAAATTATTTAAGTGAATTACTTAAGGCGACTCCAAATATCATTTTTTTAGGCTTTTAAACAGAGAATTCAAGAATGTCAAGAAACTCATAAACAACTGCAAACCAAGGTTGTATGAAAAGAATAAAAAGAATAAATTAAAAAATATTTTAAAAGACAGAGCTAAACACTCTTGTCTTTACCAAATAAGATGAGGGCTTTCTTCCATTATGGTTTTTAAGTAAATTATGCATTAAACCCATCCTTTATGGGTCAACGTTCTAATATTTCGCTTTCGATGCTACCAAGTAGAGAAGTCTTTTGGGCCACACGAACATCATTCAAAGCAGTAATCTGCACTTTATTACTCTATCCAGACATGTTAATTGCAAAAAAACATTTTCATTATTTAAAACCGACTCATTGAGTTTCTAAAAAACTAAAATTATCAATCAACGGAACAATATTTCATAGGTAAACAAAATGGTTTTGAACTAGAAAAATCCAGAAAATTGTGAAATAGGAAGACGACATTAAAACATAATTTCAGCGTAATAGTTGATGTTTTTAAAAAAGCAAATATTTTGTTAAATCAGTTATTAAGTTTCATGGGTCTGTTTACACTGCATGTTTCATCTTCTGTGTCTCATGTTCATTGACCTATTTGAAGTCATAACTTGAGTCTAAAAGTCGTCTTCCTATTTCATAGTTTTCACTGTAATTTCAATAATGTTACTAACATTTTTATTAGGGATTATGTGCTTAAAAAATTTGACTACAATTCGGAAAAAGAGTAAAATTTTTATTAAAACTAAAAACGACATTTTTCAAGAACGATCAAAACTATAAAAAAAAATTTTAGTTGAACTTAGTGAACAAGGAGATCATTGACCTGGACACTCATGTTAACAAGATAAAAACTGCGATACGAGCAAAGGTAAATATTTAAACTAAAACTGTATATTTAACCCTAATAATTAATAATTTACAAAAAAACAGGGGGATCTTTTTATAATTCTGAAAATTAGGGTATTTTAAATTGGTGCTAGATCAGTCTTTTTAAAATATATGATATAGCTGGGAGTCAATGTGTTGCTTATATTACAGTGGTCGGTGTTTATATCAATACAGTGAAGATGATTTCTAAAAAGTTTTTTTTCAAGTTACAGGTTAACAAGTTAACAAAGATTAGTTGTTAATTGTTAATATAAATACATCAAAGATTTTATGACTGAACTCAGAGGAATGAACAGAAAAAATAGTTTTGTATTAATTGTAAACTGTAATTCAGTATTTAAAAAAACGAGTATTGTTTATGCCCAATTCTTTAAAAGGTTTAAATATCCCTCCTTAAACAAGCCGCACCCCCCCTTCTCCCTTCCCCCCGAATTACGTAAATGTTCGTTAATTAGATAGACCCCCACCACCACTTTGTACACATACATATAAACAGTTTTTATTAATCTTCATGAAAGAAACAATCTCAAGGAATACTATTTGCCTTGAAACATTCTTTAAAAAGTGAAAATTTGCAAATTATCTTTTTCAATATCATGAACTGAGTTCGTTCCCTTTTGTCCATTTGACAGCCCATTTTTTTGAAAATTTTTTTTTCTTGTGATATTTTAACATTTTTTATCGATTTGATGGTTATTATATCGTTTTAACTGACGAGGGTCAACCAATTCAATAAAATGTGGAACTACTTTTTTTTTACTCTATACAGAGGTTTGGTCCATCACCAGCACCGAACTGTAAAGCTTCTTTTTTGTTTCCAAGTTAATGTATATTCATGCTGTATGAAATCAAAATTGAAACAGAAAGTCGACCTTCATGTATATACATATATATATATATATATATACGACGACGACTGCAGAAAATTCTAAATTTAATCATAAATTTTTAAATAGCTGTATTTAAAACTTTAAAATTTGGTTTAACTTGACTTTTAAAAATGTTTGTTTTTAAAGATAAAACTTGTCTAATTCTGGAGATAAAAGTATTCTTTCCTAGATTAAGCAGTTTCTCCGAGGTTCGAACTTTTGTATCTTCAGACAGCATTAATCCATTTCTTTTAAATTATAAAATTATGTTAATTCTTGTCAAGAGTCTTAACAAGTCCGACCAATACAAAGCTACAAAAAACTAATCGTTTAAAATCTGAATTTTCTGCCGTGGATATTTAATTTAACAAAATTTAACAAAAGTTCCGATCTATCCCCATAAGATTGAGAGTAGTATGATTTTTTTTATGATTGAACGCAGTTAGCATAAAATTTAATTTTCTAATGTTTATATCTTTGCAACATGGTTGTGTTCCCCTTTGATTTTTCAAATTTAAATTAGTTAATCTAACAGAATTCATGTTTGAAATATCATAGAGGTGGGTATAACTCTTGTACTGCGCTTATCGAAATCAATGCTTAATTTCAATTTTTTATTAATCTACAGATTTATTTGATCTTTATTCGATATTCTGTGAAGTGTCAATTAGAAGTCAAAGAATTTTTCGTTCATTCAAATTAGAACAATAAAAATTACGGACATCCAAAATCAAGTGATCAAACAGATTTTTCGTAAAATCCATAGCAAGCACTTTGATTTTTGATTTTTTTAACTTTATTTTGTCGGAAAAACTAAACTTGTTACATCAAACAAGAGTGATTGCAGATTGCAAATTGTAAACAGGCCCTTTAAAATCTCTATTACAGGAATTGAGTTCTTGCCACAGACTCTGATTTAAATCCCCATATCTTTGTAACCAAATGTATTAGACCTTAGATATTTTAAACTTTGAATTCTGTTAGATCAAACAATCTAAGTTTGAAATATCAAATATTAGAAAATCAGAATTTGTGGCAAAGAATCAATTCCTTTATTTGTTTAGGGTGGTCCACTTAAAGTATCCCAGACACGGTTGGAGAAACGAAGCCACAGGTTAAGAAAATCATCTTAATTTGTCATATTATTAACCAGTAATTTATCCGTCCATAACTGATTTTCTGCATTTTATTTAATCGTTACCAGAAGGAAACTACGGTGATAACCAGAAAACAAAGTATAGGAATAAGATTTTACACTCAAGTTACAACATTAAATAGTCCAATGGAACACAGCAATTGAGTAGGATAAACAGACCCATTTCACTTAATTAGTGATGCAATAAGTGTGTAAAAAACTAATTGCTTAGTATCAATATCAAATACACTCAAGTATTACTGTAAAGTCTTCTTAACAGTTTTCTGGTTATCACTGTTATATAGTGTATACTGTCAAATGACTGTCAATAATTTAAAGAAGAGTATTAGGGACTTTGTTTTATATTATCCCATAAACGTCAAACATGGCTGAACCGATCGAGCTCAAAGTAAATGTGTCTTTGCCACAAACTCTGATTTTATAATCTACGATAAAAAAATCTACGTTTAAAACATCATCAGGAAGAAAAGATATGGGATTAGATGATTTGAGTTTGAGGCAAAGACTCAAATTCTTTGTTGTGACAACTCAGTCACAAGATCCCATCCCAGGGAAGGTTTATGGATGGTTACAGCGTAAAACGTTTACCCAAAAGAAACATCGACATTTGTTATTTTTAAAAATACGCAAACTTAGACTGCAAAATCTGCGAAATACGATTTTCAAAGAAAAATGTCAGCTTTGAACAGTATAACAGATAAAAGCTAAAATTCTTATTAGAAAAGGTGCGCGAAAAGCTTAGTATTATAACTGTTTCTAGTTTCTAACTTTATCTACTTTTCAAAAGAATCATATTCTATATGGAGGGGGGAGGGGGGGGGGATGTAATTTGCTCGAATTCAATCAAAAGTAGTGTTCAGGGTTCACATGAAGTTTTTACTTAAATCATAATTTTAAAGGAAAACTTTCTGTTATTTAAATTTTTTCATAAAAGATTGATTAAAGTTCAAATAATCTTTTAAAGAGGAAAATCTATTCAATCGACACGTTTGATCAAAACAGATTAGTATTTCATCAATATTTTAATTTTATAAGATATATCTGGTCTAATATTGAATTAAAATTATAATTTATTTGGGTCTGAGGGTTAAAGTGAGATTAAAATATATATTTATACTTCTCTGGAACTGCCGAAGTTGTGATTCTTATTATAAAGTAGATTCAATATAGATGAGATTTATTTAGACCTGATGTTTAGATATATCTAGGCTTGATATTGAGATATATCTAGGTCTGATATAGAAATATCTACAAGCCTGATATTAAGACATATCTAGGCCTAATTTTAGTATATATCTAGGCTTGATATTGAAATATATTTAGGTCTGTTATTGAGATATGTACAGGCCTGATATTGAAATATATCTAGGCCTTATATTGAGATTTATCTAGGTCTGATATTGAGATATTTCTAGACCTGATATTGATAAATATCTAGGCCTGATATTTAGATATATCTAGGCCTGATAATGAGATATATATAGGCCTGATATTGAGATATATCTAGGCCTGATATTGATAAATATCTAGGCCTGATATTGAGATATATCTAGGCCTGATATTGAGATATATCTAGGCCTGATATTGAGATATATCTAGGCCTGATATTGAGATATATCTAGGCGTGATATTGAGATATATCTAGGCCTGATATTGATAAATATCTAGGCCTGATATTGAGACATATCTAGGCCTGATATTGATATATATCTAGGCCTGATATTGAGATATATCTAGGCCTGATATTGAGATATATCTAGGCCTGATATTGAGATATATCTAGGCCTGATATTGATAAATATCTAGGCCTGATATTGAGACATATCTAGGCCTGATATTGATATATATCTAGGCCTGATATTGAGATATATCTAGGCCTGACATTGATAAATATCTAGGCCTGATATTGAGACATATCTAGGCCTGATATTGATATATATCTAGGCCTGATATTGAGATATATCTAGGCCTGATATTGAGATATATCTAGGCCTGATATTGAGAATTGTTCTGATTCTCCTCACCTGAATCTAGTGAAGGAAGTGACCCAAATTCAAGAGAACGTGGATAAACTGAATGAGGTAATTTTTCATATTTATTTTTCATATTTATTTTTCATATCTGTTTTTCATATTTATTTTTCATATTTATTTTTCATATTTATTTTTCATATTTATTTTTTATATTTATTTTTCATATCTATTTTTCATATTTATTTTTCATAGAACATATTTAGGGGGCGTCGGCAGCACGCCAAAACCTTGATTTAGTCAGAACAGCCTGTTGAAAATCCTATTTTAAGAGTTTTCAATGAAATAGCGGGTTTTCGGCCAAAATTCTTATCTAAAACATAACTTTTAAACAACTTAGAGACTTTTTTATAAAAAATTCTTGAGCAGCCACGCCTTATTTGACATAAATAAGAGGTTTATGGAATAAACTCATTTTGTCTGACCCCCCCTTATACCCCACTGTGTACCCCCACCCTATCACCGCTTTCCTACGGCCCCACCTCAAAACTGAAAACTGACAATTTTGTTGTTATATAAGTCAATATTGTTTTGTGTTCCGAAAACGTCGATATCGACGTCTGTCCATAACTTTAAATGTCAATATAATAAACGAAAAAAATGTTGTTTTACAATGTTTTTATTTATTTATTTTTATAAAAGATGATTACAAAATTGTACAACAATATTTTAAAAGTATTACAGAATTCCAATTTTTCCCACTTGTGGATTCTTGAGACCCCGGGAGTCCGGACCTTCCTCTGGGAGATCCCAGGACCCTGTAAGTGGGAAACAGCACCCCAACAATTATTTTTGATATTTTCTAAATAATTGGTATTAGACTGTACATTCTTCTTATCTATTCATTGGTTCAGAATTCTGCTAATTTCTGCTTCTTTTTTTAATTCTGTCTGATATTTCTGGTTTGTTGCAAGGAAGTTTTGCTCATTTTATGTTTCTAAATTCAATATCTCAGCTGCTGATACTGAACCCATAAACAATCTTGAATTAATAAACCTTGCAAGTTTTCTAGAATTGATATTTGCTATCTCATGCTAGGTTTGTAGATTGTTACATGATGCGTATACTAAATATAGATCTATACACAATTAATGCGTATTTTTTCCATATTTATATATATAAATATAAATGTTCCATATATATTGGGTCAAATGTAGATGATGCTGAAACTTTGAATCAATTCTGAGTTGATGCTCTCGCCCATAATGCCGGTATTGTAAACGGTATTTCATAATTAATCTACATATATGGAGTTATCCTTGAAATAAACTATTTCAAGTGTGCTTCTTCATAAATCTCTGACTCTGAGGAGATTAATGCAGCAAGGAAGATAGTATACATATAATTGTCGAAATTAAACTCTTTTCCAGTCGTTGTTCCTCAGATCAAGGTATAACGCGTATCGTTGTGAATTAGGCCTGCTACTCTATTAACCCTATTATGGCAGGGGAAAGCTTTAGAGCAAAGGTATGGAAATGCAATAATGAAGACGTTCATAGCCCTAGTCTTAAGGCCTGCTATCAAATTAACTTGTCAAGGGCTTTTCAAAAATTTTAATGTTTGAGTTGTAGCTTAAATCGCAAAAACGTTATGGGCAATTCAAAACATCTAACACCGGCTATACATGTAAATTGAGCTGATTGTGCATTATTTTTAAAGACAAATTTTAGGATTCATTTAATACCAATAATACGTTTTTTCTTTTCATACTTGTTGAGCAAGGCCGCAAAAACTTTAAAAATCTCATTGTTTGGAGGATTCATTTCAAGAATTTTTTTTATTATTCAATAACGATGTCGAAATTATAACAAAGATTGTAAAACAAACTGATTAGTTAAGCTTTTAAAACTATATAGTTTTCCGGCGGAAATGCGACAATGTTTTATCTAATGTGTATATTGTAGATGCTGAATGAGGCCCAGGAAGCTCGAGCTGACCTGCTCAATAATAAACTGGTTCTAGAGAGGGATTTACAGATTAAAACTATCAGCCTCAGGTCAGATTTGGGAACTATATATATCTGCTATTTTTAACATTTTAGTTGTTTAGACTTTCCGGTGGGTCAAATAATTAGGGTTTCCAGCGAACGAAACGTTTCGCGAAAAAATGCGAAAATGCAAAACTTTTCTTTCATATTTCGCAAACTTTTCGCGAAAATGAGTAGAGGAAATAATGCGAAAACGATGCAAAATTTCGCAAAAAAACAAAATGCGAGAATTTTGCGAAAATATTTTCGCAAAAAAAATTCCGCAGAAAACCACTTAAGTTTCTGTCCGTCCCGTACGCTCAACAAAATTTAGCTTGCCATGAGCCAGCCAATTACAAGAAAGAATCTTTTAAATGGAGCGTATTTTTAGCGAAATTTTCGTGTTTTTTTGCATAATTTCTGTTTTTTCGCATTTTTCCGCGAAATTTGCGCATTTCCCATTTTTTAGGAAAATTTCGCAATTCGCAAAAAAACGAAAATTTTCGCATTTTTCGCGAGCGGACGAAATGCGAAAAAATGCTTAATTTTCGGCGAAAACAAAATTTTTCTATTTTGCTAGAAACCTTAGTCAAATTATATGAAATTTAAGATATTGGAAAAATCTATTCTCTAATAGTTTTGTGCAGCAAAGATAAATGCATAAATAAAAGTATAAAAATCAAACGGTTGATTTTCCAGTTAGTTTACTCACGTCAATGCCTATAATGTCTGTCAGAGTCAAAAATGATAACACATATTATAAAGCCAGGGAAACTGGGTCCAGATTTAATGGATGGCAAGATATTAAAGACAAGTTAAACCACGTAAACAAGTTGAAAACTTCTCCTACGCTGAACCGGGAGCACAACTTCACGTGAACGTTGATTCAACTATGACTGTTGTTTTTAAAACTATTACTGATTCCATATTTAATGAACAGCTGAAGAAGTAGTTGAACGTCGCAATTAACACAACGTCTCTTTGACTTTAACCAACTTTAACCTGTGCACACAAGAGAAGCGGTTCAACTAAATCTACGCGGTTCAAATACGCCTTGCTGTTTATTAAATCTGGTCCCCCAACGAGTAGGTGTATGCATAATGCTTTTATCTAAAAATTACACATTTTCAAATGATATAAAGTAATTGAGTCTTTCCCACACATTCTGATGTTCTAATCCCTATATCATTGCATTCCAATATCGTAGACCTTAGATATTTCAAACTATGAATTCTGTTTGATCAAATAATCTAAATTTGAAATAACAAATGTTTACACGATAAGGTGGCAAATATATAGGGAATAGAAAATCAGAGTTTGGGGCAATGACTCAATTCCTTTGTCTGTTAGGCTTAGAGATGAGCATCTAGGTTAGGCTTAGAGATGGGCATCTAGGTTAGGCTAAGAGATGGGCATCTAGGTTAGGCTTAGAGATGGGCATCTAGGTTAGGCTTAGAGATGGGCATCTAGGTTAGGCTTAAAGATGGGCATTTAGGTTAGGTTTAGAGATGGGCATCTAGGTTAGGCTAAGAGATGGGCATCTATAGGTTCGGCTTAGAGATGGGCATCTAGGTTAGGCTTAGAGATGGGCATCTAGGTTAGACTTAGAGATGGGCATCTAGGTTAGGCTTAGAGATGGGCATCTAGGTTAGGCTTAGAGATGGGCATCTAGGTTAGGCTTAGAGATGGGCATCTAGGTTAGACTTAGAGATGGGCATCTATGTTAGGCTTAGAGATGGGCATCTAGGTTAGACTTAGAGATGAGTATCTAGGTTAGGCTTAAAGATGGGCATCTAGGTTAGGCTTAGAGATGGACATCTAGGTTAGGCATAGAGATGGGCATCTAGGTTAGACTTAGAGATGGGCATCTGGTTAGGCTTAGAGATGAGTATCTAGGTTAGGCTTAGAGATGGGCATCTAGGTTAGGCTTAGAGATGGGCATCTAGGTTAGGCTTAGAGATGGGCATCTAGGTTAGACTTAGAGATGGGCATCTGGTTAGGCTTAGAGATGAGTATCTATGTTAGGCTTAGAGATGGGCATCTAGGTTAGGCTTAGAGATGGGCATCTAGGTTAGGCTTAGAGATGGGCATCTAGGATAGGCTTAGAGATGGGCATCTAGTTTAGGCTTAGAGATGGGCATCTAGGTTAGACTTAGAGATGGGCATCTAGGTTAGGCTTAGAGATGGGCATCTAGGTTATGCTTAGAGATGGGAATCTAGGTTAGGCTTAGAGATGGGCATCTAGGTTAGGCTTAGAGATGGGAATCTAGGTTAGGCTTAGAGATGGGCATCGTTTATAACAAAAAAATAAAAAGGAAAGATAAAAATCGTTCAAACGAACTTGAAAAAACTATCGTTTATAACGAACAACCGATTTTTATGAACATTTGATTAAAAACACGTTTGGGTTTTCACTGATCAGGGTACCCTTAATGCAAAGATTGCACTTCCATCATAATTAATCTATTTTATTATTTAATATTATAGGATAGATGAGCAAAAGTGTCTGGCTGCCAGGAATGTATTTATTATTTAACATTTTTTTATATTTAAATATTTTATTGAATTTTTTATCAAATTTTTTATCAAAATAAATACAGGAGTAGGTTCCCCTACCAGACAAAGTGCGATGTTGCCTCGAAGAACCCAGTCTATTATTATGTTTACTATAATATTGTATAACACAGATATTTTCATTTTTAAAACATGATTTGTATCAAATTGAACTAAAAGAGAACATTAAAGTATAAATTATTTTGTTTAAAGGGAGTGTTCCCGAAAAATTAAAGGGGGTTTAGGCTTACGGCGAAAAAGTATCGATGGTGATCGCTACTAATCTTACTTCAATATGTTGCGTCTATAAGGAGAAAAATGTTAAAACCGACTCTTACTGAAGAACTTAGCGTCGGCCCAAACAATTTCAGAAAGTTGCAACATACGACTCTGATCGTGACATAAATTAATTTAATTCCAAACAAATCATTCAGATATGACAACCTATATCATTTATTATTTTTTGACGCATTCGGATAAAGTTTATATGTCATGATATTTTATATTTGTTTTATATACAATTCACTTAAAACTTATCGATTTTTTTCCTTTATGAGTCTCTGCCATGTGGACTCATTCAGAGCATCGAGAGCAGAGACACCTGGCGGCCAACTAATAGGCGTTTTAAGTGCATTGTATATAAAACAAATAAGAAATATTATGAAATATCAACTATATTCAAATGCTTCGAAAAATTATCGATGATTACAGGTTGTAATATATTAGTAATTTGTTTGGAAATAAATTGATTTTTCTTCGATCCGAGGCGTATGTTGCAACTTTCTGAATTTGTATGGACGCTACGTTCTGCGGTATGAGCAGTTTTTAACAATTTTCTCCTTATAGACGCAACAGATAGAAGTAAGATTAGTAGTGATCACCATCGATAATTTTTCGCTGTAAGTCTATACCCCTTTTCATTTTTCGGAACACTCCCTTTAAAGTGAACCATTTTCATCTAATCAACCAATGTTATCTCAACATTAGAACAACATTAATTTCACTCCTGTAGGTCCGTATACCGGCCTATGATTTACAAGATTCAGAGCTAAAAACAAACGTTCTTGTATAAATTTATTCACTTATTCTTAATTTAAAGAAATATGACATATTTCAAATTAAAATATGAGCATAATTCTATGTTTCTTATCTTAAAATTCACTGTTTGGTGTAAATATTAGCATTTACATTTGATATAAAAGAAAAAGAAAAGGGCTCAAAGTTTGATGAATAGCAAAAGTTTGATCAAAATTTGTAAAAAATTGTCTTAAATAATAATAAAAAATATGTTAACATGATAATTATCCAATAAAAACTTTTTTTCATAAAATCTACAAATATTAGGATAAATGGAGAATATAGATGATGAATTAAATTAATCCGTATTTCAGAAAAGATAGAAATTAATGATTAATTCCAAGATTCACAATAAAAAAGTTCTAACTTAAGTCGAGATTTATTTTCGTAATAATTGGATTGGTTAACAGAAAAATATTGTTGTGTTGGAGCATATTTTTGAGTTAATCATTTCCTTGAACTAATCTGTATCTTTGATTTCTTCTCTCAGAGCAAGTTGTCATGTCATACAAACAAAATATAGTTACAGTATTTATTTTCTAACACAAATTACAAAATATTATTTAGTAAACAAAGGAATGATTATTTAGTAAACAAAGGAAAGATTATTTAGTAAACAAAGAAAATATTATTTAGTAAACAAAGGAAAGATTATTTAGTAAACAAAGAAAATATTATTTAGTAAACAAAGGAAAGATTATTTAGTAAACAAAATACAAAATATAATTTAGTAAACAAAGAAAATATTATTTAGTAAACAAATAAAATATTATTTAGTAAACAAAGGAAAGATTATTTAGTAAACAAAGAAAAGATTATTTAGTAAACAAAGGAAAGATTATTAAGTAAACAAAGAAAATATTATTTAGTAAACAAAGAAAATATTATTTAGTAAACAATGGAAAGATTATTTAGTAAACAAAGAAAATATTATTTAGTAAACAAAGGAAAGATTATTTAGTAAACAAAGAAAATATTATTTAGTAAACAAAGGAAAGATTATATTGAAAATCAAAGATCAAGAATTAAAGATTTTTAGGTTGTCATTTATTTGCTATTTTTTGTTGGCAATGTTTATTTGTTTAATGAACATTTCAATTATGAAATACTTGATGATAAATAACTACATTTCCATATCTTTAAATTTAGTAATTGTATATTATGTGTGTTTTTATAAATGGATAAATTACTATTATAATCTGCAAATGAATCGCAAAGGAATTGCATTTTTGTTACAAATTAAAATTTTCTAATCTCTATATCTTTGTAACCTTCTGGCGTAAACCTTTTTATATTTCAAGCTGAGACTATGTGATCTATTAGAATTTATATTTTGAAATATTAAAGGTCTATTACATCTGGGTGCAAAGAAAAAGAATAAGATAATCAGAGTTGGTTGCAGAAACTCAATTCCTTTGCAAAAATCCAAATATTTATTGCAAAATCTAACTATTGAGCGAACAATTTGAAAAAATAATGCAGAATACAACAATTACATTTTTGTCCTTAATCCAGCAAATTCAAATAGGCCAAAATATTTGCAACATTTTACAAACTTAAATGTATATTCAAGACAAATTGAAAATGTGCATGCATTCCCTTCACAGTTGCCTAAGCAAAAATTGGTGCAAAATGTATTTGAAAAAATTGTGCAAACTGATTCCTTTTTTCATAATTGTGCAAACTGATTCCTTTTTTCATAATTGTGCAAACTGATTCCTTTTTTCATAATTGTGCAAACTGATTCCTTTTTTCATAAGCTTTCCATAAAGCTTTTAAATCTTGAAATCCAACGACTGTATGAAAGTATGTCCAAATATACATTTAGTCTGGTAAAGGTAACATAAAGCATTTAGGCAGTATGCCTGAGGAGTGAGGACTTCGCCAGTAGGTATACAAGCCAACTTTTAACATTAACTGAGAGGTATGTGAGCTCCCTATCAAAGATTAACCCTTAGTTTTAAACATTGGGAGCTACTCTTTAACTTAACGAGTTAATTTTTCTTGAACGAAGATAAGTGAAGGAAGCTTAGTAATCATCCTACTATGATGTTCCAATGGCAGTCTGAGGTGAGAGGATGAACTTATCTCTACTGGAGGCAGGTTGTCAGGGTGTGTATCAGACATCTGAAGTAAAGAGGAGGCAGAGAGTGGTTCATGTTTGTTTCCTGTAGATGTGCCTGTTTGGACTCCAGCAATTCCTGTTGAGAGTCCAGATTGACCGGTGACTATTGAAGGGTTGCCCATAAATATTCCGCCATCATCCTCATCAAGTCTATTCTGTGCAGTTTCTAGAGATTCATGTGTACTGCTGGAATTCTGTAAATGTAGAAGACAATGTAGTTTCTCAAGGATAAATGGTCCTGTGAATGATCCCTCTTTTATTGCAAACATGCAGAGCAGAAGAAGTATATGGACACATTCAGGTCAATGATCATGATAGGTTCTCTAGGTTTAAATACTAATAGCATGCATCCAAACAGAGTTACTGCTAAAAAAATCAAGCCAATTGTCATTGTCTTAATTCTAAAACCTTCAAAAATGTTTACTTCGTCCCTCATAAACCAAAGAATAGACAGGTTGGTGATGATGAAAATTGCCAGATAACTAATTGCCAGTCCCAAATTGACATAAAACAGTACATCTGATTCTGATGTTACAGTGCAACCAGTTGGATATACCTCAGTAATGTGCACTGTTCCTAAAATAAATTTTTCATAATTTGTTATAAAATATGTCAAAAATTAAACCTTGGTCATTTGGTTTTCTCAGTTTTACTAAAACCTATGTTACCATATGAATTGTCATACAGTAATTTTTTCAGAGGTGGGGCAAGGGGGGAGGAAGCTGATAATGTTTTTATGATATGCTCTCTACCGCCTCCTCATTACCCAACATTTCTGGAGGTTTGATGAGTATTGAACAAATTTTATTCTGCAATAATTTAAATAATAGAATCAGCACCCAGTATGGAACTGTCTCTTTGCCAAAAACTTAGATATTCTAATTCCTTTATTTTTATTTGCTATAGACTTGAAAAGAAATCGATTGAGTGGAATAACCAAGAATAACACAAACAATATTTTCATTCTAACAATACAAACAGTTAGTGTTGGAACAACTAAAGTTGATCTAGATACAATGACAATTGCCCTGGTCTTAGGGTAAAAGATGGCTGACAACACTGCTTTCTTCCCCTGCTAGATAAATGCCGTTTCGATCCTACCCTATCTACAAGACAAGAAAATGGTTCAATTCCCTCCTTGGCCCATCCTGTTATGTACTCAGGCTGCAACATACTCAAGGTTCAATATCCTCTTGGGTTTGAGTTTAGATTGTTTGGCTTTATTCTTGGATTAAATTGTTAAGGATTATTTCTCTGCTTAGCTTGGGAGCAATGCACTGTACGATACTATATATACAAGCTGGAGAACCCTTGGTTGGGTTCAAAATTGCAATGTAATGGGCCTATTATATTTCAAACCATGAATTCTGTTAGAATTTAACCTTGAAATATCATTATTTAGTTCACTTACTTTTCAAAACTTTATTAATCAAAGCACTTGTTTAAGAAACATTATTCCCTTTTCCAGGGGGGCTGATAGTTATTTTCCTGCCAGCCTATTTAGCTGCACGGACTGTACACTTACAACTGTTTACTAATAAATGACAGAATAAGATTCTATAGTGATGAAATGTGCATTACTCTCTCAATGTAAAGGATTACTGTCCAATAGTGCTCTATTCCCTATAACCTATTCTCAATGTTTGCTTGATTTCAATGAAATGAATCTCTTTAAAAAAATACTTACATTTACCATTTTTAGATATTTAATCATAAAAATTTGCATTAGGTTTCAGGAACATCAACTAAGAAGAGGGGTACATACCTCCCTGGACCTATGAATCCTAGTTTCCCCCTGGAATGAAACAAAATTTAAGCTCCTCTGGACAAATTCCTGTGTACGCCCCTGTTAAAATAAGCATTTATTTTATCTACTAACCTCGTGACAAATCAAGACAGAGAAATTCAGGGTAGATAAGAAGGGCAAGAACAACAGCACAGACCAAGCAACGTTTACCCATTTTTTCCTGGTCAAAGGCCATGATCCAATCATTCTATAATAATACAAATACATTATTCATCATTAACTTTATTTCTTGATTAACCTATTTCTTAAAAAG